ATTTCTAATCAGAAACGACTAAATTTTCTGTGTTTAACTAATAACGTTAGCATTCTTTTATCATTTTAAATAGTTGTATTACAATCAGTGAGATGTCCGCCAATTTGCATCGCCATTTTGACCTCTTTAACGCCATTTTCATGAAGGCCAGCATTTTTTTTTTTTGATTCAGCATACTCGAAATAGTTTAAAAACTATGCTGGACCAAATAATAATTATTTGCCGTTAGAAGCTATTTCTAGCCTTTTTTTTAAAAGTCAGGACCAGACTATATCTTCCAAAATCAAATAACATGTTAGTTCATTAATGATTATAATAGGTGATACATGTACAGTGGAGCCTCATTTATCCGGACGCTTTGGTTCCCAAGGAAATTGTCCGGATAAGTGAAGCGTCCGGATATCTTCTATTGAAATACTGTATTTGTAGGAAAGATAAATACTATCATATAGAAATAATAATTTATTATTTTATAGACTATATCTTTAGTATACATCAGCACTACTTTTAAACATTTTTTTCAAATATAATAGATATTTCTATAGCTAAAAAATTTAAGCTGGCGGAAATGCCGACTTGCGCTCTCTTTGCCGACGGTGTAGACATGGTTGAAGCTGGAGAGCAGAATGACAAACATTGGATATAACGCTGTTTAAATGGGCAGATTTTTAATTACCCAGCTTATCTTTACTTTCTACTTCCTATAAATTGAAGTACATGGCCAAGCGAATTCTCTCATTTGCAGCTTTGATTACACCCAAGCGAGCTGTCAGTATCGAGTCTAATTTTTAATTTGAACACTTATCCACGCTAAATCTGACATATTAAAAATTCACGCAGTAATCATCCCAAGCGAAATCATTGATTGTCTAAAATTATTCAAATTTGATTGAATGTTTTAGGTTTTTTTTCGATGATAACTGCCACCAATCTACAGATGAAAATTACACAATACCGATTTGTGCGTGCACATGTGTAGACAACGAGATTATGAAACTATGTCGTCCCTTCAATAAATAGAAAAATATTTAAAACCAGCTCTGTACTAAAATTATAAATATCTCAGATAACAAATAACTGAATAGAAAATTGTTTTCGGTTACCGACAGAGTTAATTGTTTATTTTCATTTGTGTATCGATCTCTCGTATATTATGACCATATCCACTTAGCATGCTTAATCTGTGGACTAATCATCGTAAGTCATTCATAACAGGTTACAGGTGATCGTCTTGTAAAAACAATCAATCCGGCCAGTGTTTTGATAACAATTATCACTCAGTTCAGGCGTGAATGTTAACAATTTGGAAGTACAAATTAAAATTTACCGTCCGGATAAATGAACCAAATTATGACGTAAAAATACATTTTGTAGTAAAAAAGAGCCGTTACGGAACACGGAATTCCGGATAAATGAGTCAAAATTACGTTAAAAAAATCCGTTCCCGAGAAAAATCGTCCAGATGGTGAAGCGTCCGGATATCTGGCGTCCGGATATCTGAAGGTCCACTGTATCACCATTAATATTCGAGCAGATGATATCACTTGGTGGCAGCCCCTCATACCTTTTTGATATTTTCTCACGGCTTTTCGAGATTCCTTCATGCTCTGCTATAAAGTTTGATGCCTGATGCCCTTTTAAGAATTTCATTGCTTTAGTTTAGGGTAACACTGTTTGCGACACTTTCAGTTTGTACGGTATCCAATAATCTTTCTTTCTTATGCTACTGATGATGCCCTTGATATGAATAAATTCAAATTTGCAGTTCCCATCTCTTAAGGGATTCGACCAATTTAGAAGTCTAAGAACAGGAAAGGAGTACAAGAAAATCATATTGATTTAAGTAATATAAAACCATTCCAATATATGTAAATTTAAATAAAATGTTTACGTCTCAATGTTTGAATGTTACAAAATGATACTTGATAAATAAAAAGATAAAGTCGACTTATCAAAAAAAACTTCTAGCTTCTTAAAAGCTTCTTTTTAGCTTCTAAAATTTTTCTCAAAAATAAAATCGAGGCTTGACAATTATCACGAGCATTTGTTTCATCGAATCTTGAATTGAAACTAAAACTGGACACCAAACTGGTGCTATAGGTTTTTTTACGGAACACTTCGCTCTTTTTGTTCGTTTTGATATTCTTTTTTATGGAGAGGACTTATATTGACAGTACCTACTGTCCAAATATGATATGTTCATTCATAAAAAAGGGTGTTGTTTGAATTATGTTCTTTTTTTTTTTTTGGTCAAACTGTTTTTAAATTGCACAGAGAAACAAAGCGATAAACACACATACTTCATCATGAGACCTTTATAATGATGTTTATTTCTAGAACGATGGGCAAAATTATCTCTGACTAGTCTCCCATGATTTTCATGCGACACACACACAAAATCTTAACCACATACGCCATATAACCGTTGTTTGTTTGTTGAGCCAGTGTCCCATCTTTTGACTTATATAAATCACAAAACAATTATATCTTTATTTTATCATATACAATTGTGTAATCAAGTAGTATCAGGGTACATTCAAGTACATACCGGTACATGTATATACAAGACAACATTGCTAACGCACCACTTTATATTCTATTTTTGTGAATTGAACTTTACTTTATCGTACATAGAATATCTAATATGCCATCTTTTCCGATACAGTTGGAATGACAAATGTCTTGGTGACATGACCCTTAAGTTTTTTGTCCGAAAACTAATATTTCCCGACGTGCTTTGCGCGCCGTTTTTGTCAGGATATAAAAATGATCATAACCGTTGGTGGTCCATGAGGTTGCAACAGAAGTAATATTTAAGTTATAAGTCAAAAATCAAATTAGGAACAGCGATCGAATATCCAATCACTTATAGGTCATGCAGAGCCTTAGTATCAATGCAGAGCCCACCTAACTTCTCGTTGCCCATATTTTATGGAACAATCTTGAAATGTCGTTTGCTGCTTACTTAATGCTGTGGGTTTTTATAGTAGACATTTTTATGTTTGTTTATCTTTTTGTAAGTTTGTAAAAGGAATAATTTAATTTTCTTGGCGCGTTAACAATTCTATTTAGTGTACAATATAGTGCCATTTCAATTTTTATGAAAATTACAATAATTATTGTGACGATGGGAATTATACTTTGAAAATATCACTCCTCACTACATGTTTTGTTTCAGTCTTTATTCATGGAATCCAAAAAAGTTACATTCAATCGCAAAAACTCTAAAACTAAGACTAAACTCTGAGACACACATTACATCTCCTTCCCTAAACTCTGCCCACATTTATAAAGATAACCAATGAAAGATCACGGAACCCAAAATTAATTCAACATCAAAAGAAAGAATGTTTGACATAAATTTCAGTTGAATTCTCAGGACACGAAATGCTCAAGCTTTTATATCTCTACTCTTAAAACATATTACTCACAATACTGTCATTGATACTGTGGGACGAAGGGGGAGAGACGTCAAATTTGATAAATACAACGCAGATAGTGAAACATCGTATAAAAGTAAAATACACAAAATCACTCCTTGACAGAATAATTAAGATTCGAAGATGTTTAATTAAAAAATAAAATTTGTACACAGCTTGTATGACCGACCGACAAAGGATGCTTATTCATCCAAAGTCCAGCCTCAAAGATTGATGTTGATCCTACATGTATCAATATCCGGGTCACACCTCAGAGATCGGCATTGGTCCTACCAACATCCGGGTCACACCTTAGAGATCGGTGTTGGTCCTACCAACATCCGGGTCACACCGCAGCGAGTGATGCTGGTCCTACAAGCTACCGACATGAGCATGAGATCGGTGCTGGTCCTACCAATATGAACATGATACTTGTCCTATAGTATAAGATTTCATAATAAACCATATGAACCAAGGATATGAATGCACACTTCATATTCAAATTCACTATAAACATGTGCTTGTGAAAACACTGATGCTCCGTATGCCAGCTTATGCTCAAATGAAATTGCTGGTATCCCAAGAAAGATATTATCACATGAAATACAATTGTGAAATATGAACGCCCTAACATTAGCTGTTCAAATGTTATGTCCAAGGTTAAATTCTTTTAAAGTGGTGATCTTTCTCCGTTGTCAAAATCAAAAGATCAAAAATATTTAATATACACATTGAAAGGTCTTATCAAAAGGAATGCCCATGAAAATCCAGGATCCATTTGTTCAAAAGTTATGGCCAATGTTAAAGTTTGATTTTTTTGGTTAAAGTGGGTAAAACTCAAAGATCAAGAAGTCAGATTAAGTGGTACCCAAAGAATGGTCTAGTCACAAGGAATGCATCCGTGAAATATGAAAGCCATAGCCTAACTCATCAAAAGTTATATGCAAGTTTAAAGTTTTTGGACAGCTAGACAGACAGACAGACAAACAGAAGGACGGATAGGGCAAAGCTATAGATCCCCAAATCTTCCATTACGGGGCATAAAAAGTTACACAATACTTTTTGCTTCAGTGCACAAATACATGTGATGCCCTCTTACTTGTTTGTTTACAAGGCATTTAGCAATCACTCTAATATTTTAAGCGAATCTTTTAATAATATGCCACAGCCCTAAATCATGTATATAACGTTTGAAGAAACGGTAATAAGCTTCGGCCAAATATAGAAAGAAAAAATAAAAATAAACATACTTTTAGAAAAAAAACCTGAATTGACATGACGAGATCAATAACAAAGCATATTCATTGATCGCTCTTTGTTGTTTGAAGAATCCATGCGTAACACGTAGTGCCACCAATTTTTTTTTTTAGCTGAAAGATAATCATAACATAGATTAGATGGAAAAATAAAACATGCCATACACCAGTAAATCTTATTGATGTCATTAGAAGTATTTAATAAACATGTGAACATACAAAGATTATGTAAACAGTAAATATCAAGATATTTAAAGTGTAGCTTTAAAATAGTCCCGATTTCTCACCTGCGATTCATGTGACCGATTTAAAACACAATATAAATAGTAAATTCTGCGTCGATACGAGATACATATTCCGGTAAAATGTCTTCTGTTAGCTTTTTAGCTGTTAGCCTTCTTTTCTACGTTACCTGTCTCCTACTGGAATCTTTTGTTTCTGCTAAAACCCCACACATCCTCTTTATTGTGGCAGATGATTATGGTAAGTCAGATATTTACATGGTCAAAGTTAGTTTTGCTTTTTTTACATCGTTCTGTTAAAATTTTTACAAGAAAATATAGCTCTCTTGAAACTGCTAATAACTTTAATAGTCATGGTCATGCTAGCAATTGAACTACATCAATAGCAAGTTTTGCTGTTTTAGCTCATTGTGAATCAAAATTTGCTTCTTGAAAAGGATTCCACAAGCTGCTACATATAAGAACTTTCGTCACCTATGATCATCTTTACTTTCGGTTTTCTTTTCCTTGCGTGTTTTATAAGTATTTAAAAGTGTTTTGGAAAAAAATTGGATCATGTAGCATCTTAAGCTGCACTGACATTTCTTTTGCCTAGGATGGAATGACGTTGGTTTCCGGAATCCTGATGTTATCACACCAAACATTGACAAACTGGCACACAGCGGCATGATCTTACAGTCTTCCTATGTAATGCCCGTCTGTACGCCGTAAGTTCTACATAACAATAATTTCTTCTCAACAGAAAAAATGGTGTGTAGGCAGTGGATAGGAACCTTTAAGATCTTGAATATTTCAGCTTGAAATATGTATTTATCACTTTTATACTTGTGTTATAACACACAATTTCTAATTATTTAAGGAATGAATTTAATAGCTACCCATTTTATACGGTATAAACTGGGTTGGGGCAGTTTACGCTTTATAAACCGCGAAGCTGTCCGCGAAGCGGTTTATAAGAAAAACGTAAACTGTTCCAACCCAGTTTATACTGTATAAAATGGGTAGCTATTAAATTCATTGCTCATAATTTAATTTTCATTCATTTGATGTCAGAAAAAAAGATGATTGTTCTAACAAAATGACTTCAATTTGTACAAAATTTGAATGAAATGTCAGGCGAATTGATACGTTTTTGACGAAAAGTCATTATGACGTAGGCAACCCATTTTATACAAAATAAAGTAAATTTTTTATCCAATCAAATACAGTGTTACAACCAAAATTAAATTATTGTTATTGAAATTCCGAAAATAATTTATTTCTTATCGAAAAGCTTTATTTCATTGGCCTAAAAATGTGTTTACACTTTGCCTGTACTTTTAAAAGAGCAACTCGATTGCATCGAACAATAAAAAGGCATTTTTCAATGCAAATTTTCTAAACATTGATGATAGATAATCAATTATTCTGAATGAAGTGAATTGCTACTTTGCATTAGTTTTATTTTTCTTGGATGGCATAAGCTACATTTTTTTATAAAGCACTTCCTGAATTTAAAAAAAGGTACGTCAAATGAATCTATATTATCATACATGTACTGATTTCATACATACATTCTTTCTAAGTTCATGCGTAAACACAAGGATTAGATATACTTTTTGATAATCATTAATGTCGTAAGGTTGACAATTGTAGGTCGAGGAACTCGTTCATGACTGGTCACTACGCCTACAAGTCCGGCCTCCAGGTAAGTCATATAATTAACAAGCATATAATTATGATTGCTGATTTGGTACAGCCAAGAATTATTATCTCATTGAGGAGGGGGCGGATCTAAATCCACTTGACGTGCGGGGATGGTCATGGAACTCTAACGTTAACGTATTTGTTATTACTTTTTAAGGATACCATTATTTGATGATTTCTTGATTTTGAAAGTCACTTTGTAACTGATTATAACTAAATAAGTTTTTGAAATATTTTTGTTATTAAAAGACTTTTTCTTTTTCAGCACATTGTCATTCTTCCCCCACAGGCAACTTGTTCTCCACTGAATTATACATTTCTACCACAGAAACTTAAAGAATTAGGATATGCTACCCATGCCATTGGAAAGTTAGTCATACTTAATCTTTTCAATTATTCATATACGTATTATGTGACCACGGACTATTCTGAGTATACAATGTATCTGATCAAATCATAAAAGTAACCGTTCAACAAGAGATTTTTACTTCTTCTTGACACCAGGTCCCATTTCTGGAATAACTGGGGTCTGTGTTTAATGCCCGTCCAGATTCGTAATATTTTTTTGAATTTTTAAAATAACAATCTTTAATTTTATCTCAGTTAAAAGAACTCAAAGAGACAATTAAAACCATTATCATAACTTGACATGTTTAAACCCCTCTTTCTAACCTCTCTCCTTACACCTCTGCTGGTACTTTTTTTAAAATATAATTTCTCCCCTTTTTCGACTTCTCTTTCATTTCACTTACCTTCAATTCCAATTTAAATGAATTTAAAGAGAGCAAAAACTTCATATTATTGTTACTTCACGTTATTTTAATATTTTGAAAAAGTCATAAAAAATATGAAAAGTCATAAAAACATCGAACTTTTTACTGTATGTATGGAATATAGAGAATGCTGAATGATTTCAGGTGGCATCTAGGATTTTGTAAGTGGGAGTGTACGCCGACCTATAGAGGGTTTGACACTTTCTATGGTTTTTATAATGGGGCGGAAGATTACTACGAGCTGAATGTTGGTAAATATATAATTAAATCAATAAAATTTAAATCTGTTCTTAGACTTCAATTTTCATTTAAGATTATATCAAAATGTATTTACATTAATTATTCAAAATAAGAAATGTGAAAGTTTTCTTTTAGATTAACGACTAGACTTCCAGGATGGAAGTCTTAAATATTAATGTTTACTATGAATAACACAGTACTTGAGTGATAAACAAAAGAAGTATTTGAAAAAGAAAAAAATAAATATCTTTCTTTATACACGAACAGTCGGTGGTAAGGACTTCCGGGACAACAAAACACCTGTAAATGCCACGGGAGAATATTCAACGGTATGTATATAAATCGTAATTCTCATATATGCTATTATTTCAAAAACACGATTAATCAAGCGAGATCAAATTTCTAAGCCTAGCCAGCAAAGTCCTCATGGATTTGATCTTTAATTTACAGTAAATCATTTTTTATTCGAAATAGCTTTATTTTCACGTAATAACGTGAAAAAGCGTGCTCGCGAAAATATCTTTCCTATTTATTATAAAGAGCAATTATCACAATTCGTGAAAATTTGTCACGCTTATAAAAAGACAATGGCTATCTCGCGAAAATAAGGTATCGCAAAAATTTAGTGATCTACAGTAAACTAATGTATATGCTACTTTGCATTTAAAACAAAGAAACCCAGCAACACCACTGGCAGCAATTAATAATATAATACAATCAGAAATAGAGGTAGAAGAGAAGCCGACAATACAAAAATATATTAGAAATGGGTCAAAAAACTTCACTTTTCGTATTTATATACCTTTTAGGTCTCTAATGGATGTGAGTTGCACTGTCCCTTTTGACCGGTCATCTAACTGACACGGGTTTTGATGAGTTGTAAAACCTTGTATTTTACTTTTTTCAGCACATGTATGCCCGCCGAGCCCAGTCTATCATTATGGATCATGACATGACTAAGCCTATGTATATGTATCTGCCGTTCCAAGCTGTACATCCACCTCTTCAGGTAGTTAAAGACCAAAAATTTGAAATACTGCATGGAATTTTGCACACGATGTATTTAATGCAAATTATGTCTTTATTGTACTTTTTTGTTGTTAGTATGGGAATGAATGTCGCAGCTGTTTTAGAAAATGCATAACCTGCTTATTAAACCGTAGCTTATCCAAGTACATGCATGCTGAAGATAGCTTAATCACTGAATCTTTTAAAACATCCTTTCCAATAGGTTCCAGAGCGTTATAGTGACATGTACCCGAACGTGAAAACAGAGTCACGCAAAACCTACTTAGGTAAATGCTGTTTTCAAAGTAACAAAAGTAACATGTATATTACAGTTCTTTTGATTTTAAACTTTTTGAATTTTAATTTTAAAATGAAATGTTCTGTTGATAGATACAGCACATGGATTCACAAAATTTGTATACTTGATATTTTCAGGCATGGTGACAGCTATGGATGAAGCAATAGGAAACATAACTAATGCATTGAAAGCTAAAGGGATGTTCAACGATACTCTTATCATATTTACTGCGGATGTGAGTACAAAGATATGACAAAAACTATATTTCTAATAAAAGAATGAATGCATTTAATTGTAAAACGATAAATGACAAACGATATTTCACCAGTGGCGTGGAAAATAAATTGACATGATTCTGTTAAAGAGCATATCAATAAATTTATTGTATTTAAACTGAATCACAATTAAGATTGTCATTTTCGCTTACCTTATGGTTCATTTAGCTATATATCTCAGTAAGATACCTTTTCTCCGCATTTAGAACGGCGGCTGGGTGACAAATGCCGGAAATAATTACCCACTAAGGGGTGGTAAGACTACCTTATTCGAAGGGGGAACAAGAGCCACAGCATTTATATCCGGGGCAGGCATACAGAAAACCAACACTGTTTATAACGGGTAAGTTTCTGAGACCGGTCGGCAGGGGATTTTCACTCCTCCATGGCACCTGATCCCACCTCGCCTAACGTTACATTCAAATTTTGTACAAATTGAAGTCATTTTTTAAAAACAATCATTTTTTTTCTTACACTAAATGAATGAAATTTAAATAATAAGGAATTAATTTGATAGCTACCCACTTTATACGTGGGGATCCGGGTTAGAATAGATCCCCACTACCCCCTTGCTAGTCGTAAAAGGCGACTAAATGTGGCGGTCCTTCGGATGAGACCGTATAAACCGAGGCCCCGTGTCACAGCAGGTGTGGCACGATAAAGATCCCTCCCTGCTCAAAGGCCGTAAGTGCCTAGCATAGGTCTAAATTTGCAGCCCTTCACCGGCAATGGTGAATCTCCATATCAGTGAAATTATGGAGAGGGACGTTAAACAGTATACAATCAATCAATATACGGTATTTATAAATGGGTTGGAACAGTTTACACATTTTTTATAAACCGCTCCATAAAGCGTAATCTGCCCAAACCCAGTTCATACCGTATATATGGGTACCTATTAAAGTAATTCCTTAAAGAAAACCAAAATACTGTTCTGTTGTACCGGTGTATGGTGTGTCCAATCACTTAACTGCACATACTAGTATGTAAAATTTTAATTCCAACATGAATATGAATTATACTCAACCAAAACTGAATAATTACTTACAGCATTATACATGCAGTGGACTGGATGCCTACTGTTCTCAGTGCAGCCGGAGGGAAACCAGGTAGTGTATAAAATGTTCTAATCTAATTTTGGTTGTAATACGTTTTTTGATTGATTGAATGATTGAAAGATTGAGTTTATAGCGTACAATATAAGTTGTTTACGTCACACAGATTTACGTTTCTTAGATAATTACAGCGACAATGCTTGAAGTAAATTCATACAGTATTAACTGTAATCACGGACACCATTTTGAAAAGAATTTATAAGACATTTGTCCCTATAAAACGCTATATGTGTTAAATTAATGTGAATAAAATTTAATTTATAAAGTATGTGATATAGTATTTCAAATGTGTTTATCATTGTTTATGACATTTTTTAGAAAATATTTAATAAAGCATTAAAATATATGGTATACTCTTCCTCTAAATATGATTACTTTTTAATGCTTCACAGATCCATCTCTAGACGGAATCGATCAGTGGGATAGTCTAAGAACAGGACGGGAGTCAAAAAGAACCGAATTCATATACAACATCGATGATAAGAAACCGGAGAACTGTGGCCATGCTGCCATTAGGTATACATATAGAACATTTATACAATAATACATGCTTAAAACTATTTAATGAACCTATATTTTTCCCTTCGTTAACCAGTACATTTTCTTACTTTCCAATATGGTATATTCTGTTGTATTTTCTTGTATCTATATGGTTACCAAATGAAAATAAAAGTGTTTTTTTTTCAATTGAATAGCGTGGATGTTTGTACAAAATGTGGAACGTTGATATGCTTAGTGGAAATTCAATATGAACGTACCAAAAATACATACTTTACAACACCGTTACTTGAATAAAACTTGGTAATAAAATGTAAATATATGGTATATTTTTTAAATAAATGTTTTAGGATTGGGGATTACAAATTAATAGATGGCTATCCAGGGCAATTTCAAGGCTGGTACAAGCCTGATCAAGTGGTAAACCAAAATCAAATTGATGCAGCAGCTCACAACGAATCGTCCTTCGCTGACACAATGATGCTTTTCAACTTAAAAGGTTTGTTATAGTAGTGACTGTCAGAATTGGAATGATGAAATCTTTTCTATGAAATACTTAGAATATGTACCACTTGATTATGTTTTCTTTTGCACTGCACGTGCTCTTGTGTAGAATGACGTCTCATTTGTTAATTTTTATACCCCTGCTCCGAAGAGAGATAGGGGTTCTTTTTTACCCTTATGTGGTCCGTCTGTTTGTGTGTCTGTCGGTAACATATTCAAGTACATTGTATAAGGTATTTTGTAGGATTAAGTTTTGTTCAAATCCGTTGTCAACATTCTTTTATCTGCACATCTGCCCGTACCCAATTTTCGTTTTAGCTTTGTCAACAACTACTCATCGCAGTTAAATGCTTTTTTTTAAGAGTGCCATTTGGAAGTTGTTCTTAATTAAATATGATGTCAACTTCTTTTTTGTGCGCCTTTCTCTTTCTGTCATATTTTCGTAACATTTTTTTCAGCAACTTCACTTTACAGATGAATAAAATTGAAGCACACTCTCTTCTAGGGCATGTCATATACATGATATGGTGGGATTAATTTTCATTCAAAACAACGTAAACTAAACTGATTATCCTTGTAACTATCTTATCAAAATTTCGCCATAGATTTCTAAGCTGCTACTCATATCACATATGAAAGAGATTTAAACACACTTTTTAAGGCATGCAATATGCTCAGATTTATTTGTATTCAAATCTGATATCAATTTTCTGTTTTTAAGTACGTTCGAATGTACCAGGTTTACTTTTGTCGCATTACATGTGTATTGCCAAATTGTAATCACAGAGTTGGATTTATTTTTCTTTAAATCTAATATCTACTTCTTGTCAGTCAATGTTTCTGTACGAACCAAATTTCTGTCGCAGTGTTTCAGCAGCTAGTCATTGCAGTCGCTTGAAATTTTAGCACATTTTTTTCTGTAGGCATGTCATATACTAGTAGTGGGGAATATTTTTTGTGTAAATTCAATTTCAATTTGAGAACTATAAGAGAATATATACATGAGAGTGAGGTAAATAACTTGTTAGCAGGCTTCGGTTTTGAATGAAACGAATAACAACGTACAATTCATCCATTTTTTAAATATACTATATGATTTAAAAGTTAATAAACATATAAGCATTCTCTTCTTAAAGTTGATAACTATGTTCCATTTCAGATGATCCAAATGAACGCGTGGATTTGTCCAAAAAGCTCCCGGATGTGGTATCTAAGTTGAAATCGAGGCTTGACGATTATCACAAACAAATTGTCCCTGCAAATTACCCACCTTTTTCCAAAGCTTCAGCTCCAAGCAATTATGGTGGATTTTGGTCTCCAGGATGGTGCTAATTATTTTAACAGTACACACTGCAAGATTATACATGAAAAATAAGGGTGATTTTGACAGAATGATTGTTTTATTCGAATACATGGTTTGATATATCTGTTGATTTTCGTAAGAGTATCAATTTTGCATTGTATGTTGAGTAAATAATTCTGACTTTGTATCTTTTCGATTTTTCCTTCTAGATAAATAAATATTTGTAATAAATTACACTACAAATGCCTCTTTTTTTCATTTAATTGGACTTCCAGCTTGAGATAGTTGGAGACATCGACGAGAATTCAACATTTCATTAACCTTAATATGTTTTTAGAAACAAGAGGCCCATGGGCCACATCGCTCACCTGAGCACTAAGGGAAGGAAAAGTGGAAAATGGCTTTTTATTGTAAAGGTTAAATCCAAAAGTAGTCCAATGACCAATCATGGATTTGCTATTTTTTAGAAAATGATTTTTAAAGAATTTTCCTATATATATCTTTAAAAACTTTGGTTGGCCATTTTGGCCCCGTGTCATGATTTGAACAAATTTGAATCTACACTACTTGAGCATGCTTCCATATAAATATGATGAATTATGGCTTTGTCATTCTTGAGAAGAAGATTTTTAAAGAATTTTCCTATATATTTCTATGTAAAACTTTGGTTGGCCATTTTGGCCCCGCCCTACCACCGGGGGTCATGATTTGAACAAACTTGAAACTACACTACCTGAGCATGCTTCTATATTATATGATGAATTATGGCTTTGTCATTCTTGAGAAGAAGATTTTTAAAGAATTTTCCTATATATTTCTATGAAAACTTTGGTCGGCCATTTAAGCCCCGCCCTTCCCCGAGGGGTCATGATTTGAACAAATTTGAATCTACACTACCTGAACATGCTTCCATATAAATATGATGAATTATGGCTTTGTCATTCTTGAGAAGAAGATGTTTAAAGAATTTTCCTATATATTTCTATGTAAAACTTTGGTCGTCCATTTTGGCCCCGCCCTAGCCCTGGGGGTCATGATTTGAACAAATTTGAATTTACACTACCTGAGGATATTTCCCCACAAGTTTCATCTTTCCTGGCACAGCGGTTCTTGAGAAGAAGATTTTTAAAATATGCCACTAAATTTTCATTCATTCCCAATTATCTTCCCTTGAATGAGGGCGTGGCCCTTCATTTGAACAAACTTGAATCCCCTTCACCCAAGGATGCTTTGTGGCAAGTTTGGTTGACATTGGCCCAGTGGTTCTTGAGAAGAAGTCGAAAATGTGAAAAGTTTACAGACGGACAGACGGACGCCGGACAAAATGTGATCGCAAAGCTCACTTGAGGCCTTGGCTCAGGTGAGCTAATAAAAGCTTAATAGTTTCAATCTCATTTTGCCCCTCCTTTAGTATTATAACAGGAGAGCAACTGTTATGTTACTTATATTTCTTGATGTGAAAGTCAGCAAAACTTAATAAAATCTTGAAATATTGATGCATTTTCTTGGAACTTCAATGGGGATTATACTATAAAAGGTATAATTACACATTAAGGATGCATACGAATATACACATCAATACAAAAAAATCATTTGATTAAAAACTTGCATTAAGCATTTTGTCATAAATTGAAACATCTTGTGCACGTATTATGCAATTAGGGACTCTTTTAATGTTGAATATTGTTTGCTATTCACCCGAAAATATTATCAATATTGACCAAGGCGAAGCTAAAGCAGTCTCAGAAGAACAATGATTTTTTACCTTCGTGTATTGATAGGTCAAGGAAATTGATCATGCCTTATCATTATGCCTACATGTCTGATCTTTACAATATTTTATGTTGACAATGCATATACAGTTATGTATGCACTGCAGATATGATTTATAAACAGAAGGATTGTGTGCAGTCAATTGTAAATAAATGTTTTTATTATCATTCGTGCATAAGTAAAATTAACTGTTGCCACGCTGGAAGGCGTTTTTTTTTTTTAATCTGAGAGAGTAATAGTATTTGAATCAAATAATGACAATTGAAACAAAATTTGGTTGTAATTACTTCTCATTTTTCATACAATTTCTTTATTCAACACCTGCTGTATTTTAAGATACATGTACATATTTTGTATTAAAAGTATCAAGAATAAATGGCCTAATAATTATCAACCGAAATGTTCTTTTTTTACGAACTACCTGCTTTAATGAAATCAGATTAAATCTTCAAGAATTGTGAATGCTAAAATGCCCTTATTTGCTGCTTGTTGATACTGAAAATTGAACACAACTCGTAAAAATAATCTGCATATGCCATTCCGATATGATTATCTACGATACATCAGCACAAGGGTTTACCCTTTGCATTCGTTACACCTGAATACTTTATTGTCCCCCGCTTATAAAAAGTTTTGATGATTTAGATTTTTGGCCAAACGGAAGAGAAACATAGTGAAAACATAAAGGCATCAATTTTTAGGTTCTTTTATAACGATAAAATTTTTCAAAATGCACTCTTAATGATTGGTTTTCATTTTTATGGCCGATATTATAAGTATCAATGACTAGTCTTACATGATCTGCATGCAACACGAACTTAACCATGTTAACTGGATACTAACTAAACTAAATGCATGCCGAATACAGACGGGAAAATAAAACCGAGCGTTTAGAATTAAACTGAATGGGCATACCGAGATCAACAAATAAAGAGTTTTTCATTGACAGCTCTCTATTGTTCGATGATTCCATGCGTAACATTTATTGACATCTATGTAGCTGTAAGATAAACATAACGTAGATTATATTTAAAAATGAAACAGGAAAATCGCAAGGAAATCTTAATGATAGAAGTGTTAAAGACACATATGAACACACAAATATTATGTTAACAGTGTAAACAATAAACATTAGATTATTTAGAGTGCAGAGGCAGTCCCACTTTCTGAACCTCGATTCATGTGACTGACCTGAACACAAATAAAATATAAATACTGCACCGATCTGAGATACACATTCCGGTAGAATGTCTATTACTAGCCTTCTGCTCTGTGTTACCTGTGTTCATCTAGGAACTTCGGTTTTTGCTAAAGCCCCACACATCCTCTTCATAGTGGCAGATGACTATGGTAAGTCATTTATTTACATGATTAAAGTAACGTGAATAGTTTAATTGTTTCACATCACAATTTAAAATTATTGAAAGCAGATACGCTCAAGTAATTTGCAAGAATTAAACCTGAATTACATGGATATACACTGTACTTGTCTTATTAGCTAATCATGATAAAGAAGGCTTTTAAAGGTCTAATTTGTGAAACGAAAAGGTTTCATTAGTTTATTATGAAATGGTTTTGTTAGAGACAAAAAGATATGTCTACCGGGTATATTATCTCTTCATTGATTAATGCTTTATCCCCACTAATTTATCTGTCATATGCCTCTCTGGAAGCCCATAATTGGAAATAAACTATTTCATTTTGTTCATGATATGAACATCTATTAATTTTTATTAGGATGGAATGATGTCGGTTTCCGGAATCCTGACGTCATCACGCCAAACATTGACAAACTGGCGCACAGCGGCATGATCTTACAGTCTTCCTATGTAATGCCCGTCTGTACACCGTAAGTTCACACTTTTCAGGAGAGAAAATGAGCATAAATTTGTTATCCCCATTAATTCATAGAGTATTTTCAATATCCCACAGCTGTGACGTCAGAATGGGGATATGTAGATATAACAGCTAAAAGCATTGATATTGATACATGTACAGTGTATATTAATTACATAAAACTTTTTTTATAAAAATAAATTCTTATGGTAGTCTTTGCATGACATTTATGATTCGAGATAACGAACAGTATTTAAGTCCAAAATTCCACTAAAGAGTAGAAATTGGAACAGAGAAAACACAGACCTATCGTAGTTGAAACTATTGTAGATTATAATTATTACGAATAAAATTAATTGCTACTCAAAATTTACTTTTAGACATATAACCTTGGGTTGAACAACTTTCTGTTTTTTATAATAAAAGATTTTTTTGCTTTAAATCGAATTTTTTTTAAAAAATATGAATAAAAAAGAAGCGATTCTGGACATATATCTTTACAAAGTAAAAGTCCCGCATTTGCATTATGAATTTCATTATGATTTATTATTATTCGTTAGGTTGACAATTGTAGGTCGAGGAACTCGTTCATGACTGGTCACTACGCCTACAAGTCCGGCCTCCAGGTAATTCATATAATTAACAAGCATAATTTTTATGTTATTGTTGTATGGGTAAAGCTAAGGTTTATAGTCTCATAAAGGTGGTAGCGGATCTAAATTCTTTTGACGTGCGAAGAGAGTCTGGTATGGATGTTTGTCCTTATCAGATGCTGTTACATGTATCTATTTATTTTTTTTTTAATGTAATGCTGGATGGTTTCTTTGCCTTTTACGTTATTTTGCAATAAACTATGACTAAAGCTTAAACATTAAAATGACTTTTTTGTTAATAGAAGACTTTTTCTTTTCCAGCACCTTGTTATTCTTCCCGAGCAGGCTACTTGTTCTCCCTCGAATTACACATTTTTACCACAGAAGCTTAAACAACTGGGGTACACTACCCACGCCATTGGAAAGTAATTAATCTTTTCTCATCAATATTTGAAAATTCTGAATTTATCTTGAAAAGATTTGACGTAGCATAGTGAATTCATTGAATTCATAAACATAATTATATGTTCATATTACAGATGTACTGGTCACAAATAATGCCATCATTTGTAACCAGAAGAATTTTTTACATTGTAATATTGAAGTAACTTGATTCTAGCTCAGTCGAGTTGGGTATATCCGACTGTCTTCATAGGCTTCAATACATTATTTTAAACAACCTCGTGTTTAAGTAAGCATTTCAAAAATTTATGGCCTTAAAACAGTAATTGTCATCAAATATAGCATATAATCTTGTAGCATTTTATATTTTCGCAGAGTTTAGTAGACATGGGATGCTTTCTCTTTTTAAGCACCTGGTCCTATTACTGGAATATCTATTGCTTATGATTTATGCTCTGTCAGATTTATAGTATTTGTTTGACCTTTCCAGATCAATCATTGTTTGGAATATTAAAAGATTTTCACTTGAGTTATCATAACTCATAGAGACAACTTAAACAAATATATCTCCACATGTTTAAAATTGCCTTTTTCTGTAGCTCATAGGGTTTGAACACAATATATATTTATTCGTAAGAAATTATGTAATAGATATAAATGTATTTCTCAAATTTTGAATTAGCCGACACTTTATTCTTGCCATTTTTAAAAAAAAATAAATTCATATTGGAAATACAATTTCTAATTTATATTTGGATCTCAAAAATCAAGCTTTTTACAGTATTTATGAAATATTGAGAATCCTAAATGATTTTAGGTGGCATCTAGGATTTTGTAAGTGGGAGTGCACGCCGACTTATAGAGGGTTTGACACGTTCTATGGTTATTACAATGGAGCGGAAGATTATTACCAGCTTAATGTTGGTAAGTTACTATAACCTTACTAATAGATTTTTACCAGTTTAATGTTGGTAAGTAACTGTAATATAATAGAAAATTAGCAGCTAAGTGTGTTTAATAAAAAAAATAATATGTTATTATCTGCTTGCATAGATATCAGAAAAAAATTACAGTGGCCATATTTTTTTTAATTTTGGATACAACCTGTTAAATAAAAAGTTAAAATGAGTATTAGATTAATTAATATAAATGTACGTGTTTCCTTATGCATAAACAGCCGGTGGTAAGGACTTCCGGGACAATAAAACACCTGTTAATGCCACGGGAGAATACTCCGCGGTAAGTGTATTCTGATTAGCTATTGTAATCAAGGGTTCTCAAAAACTTTCGTTGAAATGTATACTCAGAATTTTTAGCGAGGATTAAATTTTGGCATTATCAGCGAGAGTGCCAAGATCGCTGAAATTGAATATTGCTAAAAATTAATTGCTTTCTAGTTATAATTGTTTCATTAGTGAACAATTCAAAATTGCTAATATTACTTCCCGTCTAAAATAAACTACGGTAACTTTATTTTAAGGACAAATAGCTTAATTTGCCTCTACTTAGTTTCCATTTATAACGGTAGTTTCATTTTATTGAAAACTTACAATCAGCCGATGGGTATTTATAGTGACCGATTTACGTTTGACTTTGAACAATCGAACAAATGTTGATATCACCTTTTAGAGTGGAAACATTATTAGTAATTCTTGCAAAATGGGGGAATTTTTGCCTTTATTGAATAGATTCCTTTGCACAAAAGTTTCTAATAACTCAAAAATCATTTTCGGGGAATTGGTTAAAAATGTCTTTCCCTGCCTTTCTCCTTCCAGGTAGAATAGGAATGCATCTTTTATCCCAATGACCGACAACTGAATATAATTGAGACAATAATTTGCAATTTTCACTAGTATATGTATAAATTTCTAATTATTACAGCACATGTATGCCCGGCGAGCCCAGTCTATCATTATGGATCATGACATGACTAAGCCTATGTATATGTATCTGCCGTTCCAATCTGTACACGAACCTCTGCAGGTAGTCAAAGACCAAAAATTTGAAATGCTGCATGGAATTTTGCACACGATGTATTTAATACAAATAATGTCTTTATTCTACTAAAAATGACAAATGTGTTCAGCAGTTGATTGTCTAAGTATCTGCTGATGTCATCATACATGTACTCACTCAATCTTTTAAAACATCTTGTCCAATACATTGTAGGTCCCAGCTCGTTATAGTGCCATGTACCCAAAAGTGAAAACAGAGTCACGCAAAACCTACCTAGGTAAAGGTCACTTTCAAAAATATATATGTGATTTTCCCCCAATGTGTCGATTTTTCAATTTACAAAGACGGCGTTCATTAATAATGTTGATAAGCATGAATTTACAAAACTATAATGATTTCTAAATTCTTGATACTTTCAGGCATGGTGACAGCAATGGATGAAGCAATAGGAAACGTAACTGATGCCTTAAAAGCTAAAGGGATGTTCAACGATACACTTATTATATTTACTGCAGACGTAAGTACAAAAAGTACCTATATATATATACGTTAAAATCACTAAATTTCATGGGGTTTTATTTTCGTTGTTTTCGAGTTTGAGACAGACCCCAAAATAATGACAAATTCGAAATAAAAATTCCATTGCATTTCTACTCAAAATTTCTCAGACAATTAAATCAAATTCAAAAAATCAATATTTCTTTTACAATCTCGAAACCTCAAAAAATGACTACACAAAAATTAGAGATATTACGGTATATTTAAAATATAGGAATAAAAGTGTTTATTTACAAAATTGTGGAATACGCGATAATTCACCAATAGTGTAGAAGATTGATAAATTGATAGGATTATGCAAACAAATTGAATCCTTTTTTCAACATCATTTGTAGCTAATGTTTTGCAAGCTTTTTTCTTTATTTGTTTTTTCAATGCATTCTTCCGCCTTCAGAATGGTGGCTGGGTGACATTTGCCGGAAATAACTACCCACTAAGGGGAGGTAAGGCCACGGTTTTCGAAGGGGGAACAAGAGCCACCGCATTTATATCCGGGGCCGGCATACAGAAAACCAACACTGTTTATAACGGGTAAGTAACTGAATTCTTCTCAGAAAGGAAATTTGAGGCAGGGGGCATCATAAAAGCAAAGGTCTGAATGATACGTGTACCCTGTTTTACATCTGAGCAGCTGAATATTTGTCAGAAAAAAATGTGATCGACATTGTCTTCTTCAACAACTTGTCAAGTTTAATCCCTTAGTTGTTTAAGAGGTTGCGAAGCAAATGAGTAAAATATTTTATTTTGATTGACGAAAACAATTACAATTAATTGTATATTTTTAAAAAATTTTCAACAAAACGTTCATGTATGTACTTAATATGATTTGTACATTTAAATATTCACATATACAAGTACATTTAGTTTGTTTTCTAATATAAACACGGATTATTCTCCATACTGTAACTGACAGTTACTGACTTATTACTTACAGCATTATACATGCAGTGGACTGGATGCCTACTGTTCTCAGTGCAGCCGGAGGAACACCAGGTAAAAACTAAAGTGTAACAAACACAACTCCTATGTTGAAGAAAAATTCATACAGTCTTTACTGTGATCAACAAACATCAAATTTTAATGTATTTATTAAACATTGAATTCTATACAAAGCTAGATTTCAATAATATACACTTTTACACGAGGGTGCTTGCGTCCGGGGATGAAAACCCTACTCAGACCTAAGAATTGGTGTTGTTTCCCTTATAAACAGTCCATAATTGTTTTCTTACCCTGAAGAATCTAAATTATCCGTTTGATTCCCCTACTAATTAATTTCCCAAGTTATGTTCCCCTACTCTACTCTGAGTCCATACTTTCAAAACACGTCAACAGACAACTTTGACGTCATTGTTAGAATTTATTGTTTACCGATTTGGCATATTTAGAAATTGTACATCTATAGTTATAAATTACAGTATCTCGTTCAAAGGTCGACAACACAGTTGTAAATATGCATGTTCGCTTAAGTTATTTCATTGCCATCTGAAAAGGGACAACAATTGTCACCCTACTAGTGAGGGAGGCATCACGAATTGTCACACCTCACGTGACATGCTCTGATCCAATCAGATTTATTATATAACTCTGAAAGATGATAGTGAATGTGATTACGAATGTACATGTATTCCAATACCTTAATTTTATATGTATGCAAATGTATTTGATTTATTCTTATGACTGTTTGACACCTTGAGATATACCGTCTCCTTTGTATCTAAGGAAATATTGTTTAAAATTATGATTACTTTTTAATGCTTCACAGACCCAACTCTAGACGGAATAGATCAGTGGGATAGTCTAAGAACAGGAGGGGAGTCGAAAAGAACCGAATTTATATACAACATTGATGATTTGAAACCGGAGGTCTGTGGCCATGCTGCTATAAGGTACATATAGATCATTTAAACAATAATATAACACTATTCGATGAACCTATTTTTATTTTCACCAAACAATTACCAATAACTTTTCCAACTGTTTTAATATGGTATATTCTGTTCTATTTTCTTGTCTATTTATGGTTATAAAGGGCTGGTTAATTTTATTTTCAAGCAAAAAACTTAGATGTTTGTACAAATTTTAATAATTTAATAACACATTGACGTGCTTAATTGACTGTTAATGTTAAATACTTTGCAATGTTAAAAAGTGAAACATACGAATTTTGCAATACAATGTCAATATTCAATGAAACTAAATATTTTTGTAAAATAAATGTTTTAGGATTGGAGATTACAAATTAATAGATGGCTATCCAGGTCTCTATCAGGGCTGGTACAAGCCTGATCAAGTGGTAAAAGAAAATTATAACGATGCACCAGCGAACGTCACATGGCCTTTTAGTGACAAAATGATGCTTTTTAATTTAAAAGGTCTGATATAGTAGTTGCTGTAGATATTATAATGAAATTCATTCTATTCAAAATTATGAGCATGCATCATTCGATCTAATATAATATTCTCTTTTGCACTATTGCTCTTGTTTAAAATGTTTTTAAATCAAATCGTACTCTGCAGTATACATGGTATACAAGAACATAAAATCTATTAATCTTGTGTGATTTTTTTATATTTACTGAAAATCTGAAAGTTACAAGCAGTCTTATTTAATTAAAAATATTATTCTAATCAATAACAACGAAATTTTAAGGTTAACTAAACGATAATATTCCATTTTAGATGATCCAAATGAACACGTGGATTTGTCAAAAAAGCTCCCTGATGTGGTATCTAAATTGAAATCGAGGCTTGAAGAGTATCACAAACTAATGGTACCTGCTAATTTTCCATCTAATACTAAATCTGCAGCGCCAACGAATTATGATGGATTTTGGACTCCGGGGTGGTGCTAATTATTGAATAACAACATTTTGATTTGTAAAAAGGGTTATACTGACAGAATGATTGTTTGCTTTGAATAAATGTTTTGATGTACAGATTTGTTTATTTCCAAAGAAAGAAGTCTGAATAATAAGAGTATTGAATGTTCATTACACGTAAAATATATTTCGATAAAGCGCAAAGGGAGACTTTGCCATACAGCTAGAAAGAGACCCAATTATGAATTCAGGTCTTCAGGTCTTAATACAAAATTTACCCCATTTTGCTTATTTTTCAGCAACAACATGCAACATACACACTAAGGGTTCCTTGTATTTCTTGATTTAATTTTATATAAAAATGATATGCAAAAACGCCTTCTGTTTGATCAAATAAAAAATCAGACAATAACCTGGTATTCCTTTAATCAATTTTTCCCAAATGGGAAGACAAAATGAAAATAGAATCATGGGAAGATTTTATCTCTCAACCATTATGGTACAATAAAAAAACTTAAAATTGACAATAAGCCCATTTTTTTATTCCAAATGGTTTAACAATGGTGTAGTTTTTATCTTGTTAGATGGAAAGGGAACTTTTCTAGAATTAAAGGATCTAAAAGCAAAATTTAATATAGAAACTAACTTTTTAACATATGCAAGTTTACAGAAAGCAGTAAAAGAAGCAATGACCGTAGAAAAAGTAAACAAAGAAAGATTAAACCCAAGGCCCATTTTACCTTTTTATTTAAAATTATTCTGTCTATGTAGAAAAGGAACAAAAGCTGTGTATAATATTTAGAATACAGAACACATAATGCCTGTTTCAAAAATAAAATGGAGTAACATTTTGAAATTCAAGATTCCCTATGGGAAATGATACACAAAATTCCTTTTCAATGTACAAAAAGTTCTAAATTACAATGGCTACAATTCAGAATAAATCAACATATCTTAGTTAGAAATAAAATGTTATATAAAATAGGTTTTAAGGATACTAAACTATGTAGCTTCTGTGAGACATGTGAGGAAACAATTTTTCGTGTTATGTGGGAATGCCAGAAGGTTCAGGAGCTTTTACATAGTTTTACCATTCGTTGAGAATCTCATAATATAGACTTTCCAAATCATTTATATCAGAACTAAATGTCGGAATGAGGTTTTAAGATTACAAGCATAACGTGGAGATATTAAAACATTGCTATCTACTATGAAATAAAGTGCAACAAAAAGTAATAGAATTAATGAATTTAATAGAAAATGGAAAGACTGGCTTCTGACCCTGAAACCAGACACCTTAAGACCTTTTGCAATGCTTGGACATACATATACCACTATTTTATTTCTATGAACATGCTTTTCTGTTCTTCTTTCACCATTTCTCACCCCTCTCTCTCTCTCTTTCTCTCTCTCTCTCTCAATTGTCACTATTATATTTTTTGTATCTATTTATTATATGTATTAATGATGTTTTGATGTTAATAAGATATTATAAACATGTATATTGTGACAATAGGTATTAATAATAAAATAATTAATAATAAAATTTTTAAAAAGTTGACAATATATCTTAATACCACAAAAAAAGAAAAAAAAATCCCAAATGGACGATAAATGTACGTTAATCACCTGCCTACATGTTTATTGTATTCGTTTTTTAATGTTAACAATATCCGCTTTTTTGTAAATATAAAAAAAGATTTTTCGAGGAAATATAAGGCAAAAGAAAGAAATAAAGAAGCAATTGCAAATATGTCTTATTGAGTTCTGAGATAAAAAAAATGGATCAAAGCAAATTAGATACACACCATACTTATTTATCCGAGCCAAAAGGATCGAATATTATCAGTTATTAATTTGATTATTTATAATTGATAACGCATAACTTGTCAACAACGATAGATTCCTTACACAATTATTTTAATCAAATAATTATCAAATAATGAGAATTGAAACAAAATTTGGCTGCATTTTTTTTTCTCACTTTTCATATAATTTCTTTATTCAACACCTGCTGTATTTTAAGATACATGTACGTATTTTGTATTAAAAGTATCAAGAATATACGGACTAATTATCAACCCAAATGTTTTATTTTTCGAGCTAATTTAAATAATCTGCATATGCCATTCCGATATGATTTTATACGATACATCAGCACAAGGGTTTATCCTTTGCATTCGTTAAACTTGAATACTTTATTGTCCCCCGTTAATAGAAAATTTTGATGATTTTGATTTTTGGCCAAACTGAAGAGAAACATAGTGAAAACATATAGGCATCAATTTTTAGGTTCTTTTTTAACGATAAAAATTTTCAAAATGCACTCTTAATAATTAGTTTTCATTTTTTTTTGGCCGGTATTATAAGTATCAAGGACTAGCCTTGCATGATCTGCATGCAACACAAACTTAACCATGTTAACCGGATACTAACTAAACCAAGTATTAGCTTTCTTAAAAAGCTTGTCTGACATGGTTTGCTTAAATTCATTAAGCGGAAAGAAATAATAATAAAATTTCATTCGTTCGAGACTATATCTTCAAGAGACCATGCGTAATCAATATTGTATACAATGAACTTTAAATTGAAGCTCCTGGTGGCTCCAGAATCATGACATAAACTAAGACTTTAAGTGAAATTTTTAATCCCCGAAAACATATTAATTAATTCTGAAATTTATTTCTTCCTTTGCACATAACAACATCTCTGAAACAATATTAAAAGAAACAATATCAAAAATATCCCTAACCCTTCTGGTCTGCTTGACTTTTACAACATTTTATTATAAAATAAAGATTTTGATCGATTTATATTAGTTTTAAGATCCCGGGTTAGCATTGTACAAGTATTGTTTTACATGTTAAATGACCTACTTATTTTTTTAATTCAACAAACAGAATGAAATGAAGGTTGTAAATGATGAATCTATCTGTATAAACCTAACCCTGGCTATAACAATCTTGGCAGAGCGTAACACATGCTGACCATTTCCTGTTCTTGAAAGCTTTAATTGCTTCTCAAACCATTTGATGTACAATGATTCTCTACATAACACTGTTACGTAATTGATTGATGAAATTCTGAACTGAAGCATCTGTGAAAAGAAACAAAAAGATGCATAGGCGTCGGACTCGGGGGGCTAGGGGGGCTTAGCCCCCCCCCCCACTTTTTTCCAAATACATACTTACTGTAGACATATTGAACCTTGTTTCGTATGTTTACCCCCCCCCCCCCGCCCACTTTCCACAGACACCTCGCAGTGTAGGTTAAAAATGGGTGTAGTTTTGGTGTTCGGATAAAAAATTAGGTACCTACCCCCCCCCCCCCCCACGAAATAGGATTTTCTCCTTTGGGAAATAGACACTTCCTTTGGGGGGGGGGGGCTTGTCAGGTTTTTGAACGTAAAAAAATTTAATACTCTTAGCCCCCCCACTTTCAATTTGCTTCCGAAGCTAATGAGATGCAAACTAATTTACAATGTAATATCGTCTGAAATATAGTAGTTGGATAGGAATGAAGTATAACAGTTCAACAGCATACAAATCTATTTATACAATAAAGAATTAAAAGCGAACTTGAATAAGACATTTTTTCTGTATTGCTGCATTTTTCTCAGGCACTGTATTATCAGATTTTCAATGCTTGGAGCAGAGCAACTAAGAGAAAATATTTAACCACGTGCATGATAATTCAATGTCAAGATATAATTTTACTGAAAATAAGCAATCAATTATTTAACTATGACATGTAAAATGACTTAATCGTTGATACACAACACACAACAATGAGATTTATATTCTAAGGCATTTTTTATATAGAACTGAAGCGGACATGTTCATAGATAAAAGTACGGATTATATATACTAAAGACAAATTTATTCAGTAATGTAAATAAAAGCTCATTTCCTCCTGGGACGAACTACATGACTCTTTGGAGATTATGCATGTATCGAACATTCCTCTATCGAACTATCTAAACAATTTCATGGAATAAGCCCTGGTTAAATCTAGTACTGTCTGACGCTGTGACGTGGCGTCAGACAATGACTTAATACTTGATACACAACACAAAACAGTGAGATTTATTAAATATGGCACTTTTTATAGAGAACTGAAGCGGGCATATTCAAAGATGAAAGCACGGATTATACTAAAGACAAGATCATTCAGTAATGTAAACAAAAGCTCATTTCCTCCTGGGACGAGCTTCTTTGGAGATTATGCATGTATCGAAATTTCCACCATCGAACTATCTAAACAATTTCATGGAACGACTCCATAAATAAGCCATGGTTAAATCTAATACTGTCTGACGCCGTGACGTCAGACAAATAAATGCGTGCCGAATACAGACGGGAAAATAAAACCGAGCGTTTAGAATTAAACTGAATGGACATACCGAGATCAACAAATAAGAGTTTTCAATTGACAGCTCTCTATTATTCGATGATTCCATGCGTAACATTAAGTGACATCTTTGTAGCTGTAAGATAAACATATATACATAGATTAAATGTAAAAATGAAACAAGAAAATCGCCAGGAAATCTTAATGTTAGAACTATTAAAGACACATACATGACATATGAAGGCACAAATATTATGTTAACGATGTAAACAATAAACATCAGATTATTAAGAGTGCAGAGGCAGTCCCACTTTCTGAACCGCGATTCATGTGACTGACCTGAACACAAATAGAATATAAATTCTGCATCGATCTGAGATACATATTCCGGTAAAATGTCTACTGCTATCCTTTTGTTCTGTGTTACCTGTCTTCATCTAGGAACTTCAGTTTTTGCTAAAGCCCCACACATCCTCTTCATAGTGGCAGATGACTATGGTAAGACATTGATTTACATGATTAAAGTAACGTGAATAGTTTAATTGTTTCACATCGCAATTTAAAAAATTATTGAAAGCAGTATCCTATTTACAGTTCTTGGATACGCTCAAGTATTGCAAGAATTAAACCTGAATTACATGCATATACTTGTCTCATTAGCTAATCATGCTAAAGAAGGCTTAAATAAACTTATGTACATACATAATAATTCTTGGCTCCTCTAGTCGTG